GGCGGTAGCTGGACCCCATACCTTGCCCTTGTCATGTGGCCAACACTGAAAAAGGGCATATCCTGCGTTTTCCCTTTATGGTCAGTATCCTTAATCGTGCTCCTCCACTGCCTTCCTCGTACATTCCTGATTAACCCTTTCTGATCTCTGGGCTCATCACCCATTTATGGCTTTGCCCCTGCCCTCTGGCCTTGACACGCAGTGCTGCTTACCTGGCTCTGGTCCCTGTCCTTTCATGATTAGTGAATTATGCTGCTTTGTGATACTCTGTAAATACCCATCCTGGTCCAGCCTGGCCTCTGGGCCTACAAACCAGTTCAGAACCACACCACCACCAATGCATTTGATTTACCCAAGCCCTGCAGATGGAACAATTTGCTATCATAAGGTATCTAAACAGGTAGATTGTACAGGTATCTAGAATGTTTTCAGCATGGTAGTAGCCCTGGCGGAAACTACTTTTTAAGCCTCTGACCACACTAACTGTTTTATAGGGGATAGTGTCAACTAGATATTGATATATATATATAAGTATTTACTATTAATAAATAATATTAATCAATCACTTAATAGACTAATACATTTTATTTTTATGGTAGCTTGTGGCTTACAAAGCACTATAATATACATTATTTCATTTTATCATTATGATTGAGGATAGGAATGGGGTTGGTAATTGTAGGGATTATTTATTCTCATTTTATAGATAAGATGACCTAGGGCAGAGACTAAGTCACTCTTCTAAACAAGGCCTTAGAGTACAGAACCTAAGGAGGCCCTCGCTCCAGCATTGTGCAGATCCAGGAGAGGTACCTGAGTGTCTTTATATTTTGCCCTCTGGGTGCCTTGCTGAACTCACACTAGTCCCAGCTCTGCTTCTAAGATCTGCTTCACAGCTAAGGCCAGAGCTTGGAGTTACTGTCACATTCATGTCTTTGATAAAATGCCCTTGAAAACCCACTGCATCTTCTTGACTCTGTTTCTTTGGGGAGCTGCACGTCTCAGCCTCTAAAAAGTCATCCCATTAGGATGATCCTATTACATGGCTGACCTGTACCGTTTGGTCTGGAACCCAAGAACACAGATACCTTGAAAAGATGGTTCGAGTGTAGATCCTTTGCTGTTTTTCGAGGTTCTAATCCAGATGGCTCCTTTTCCTTCATTGTTTTATCTTCATCTTCATGTTTAGGGCTTAAATGTGAAGAAATACCAGGAAAAAAAGTAAAGTTTAGAGTATATGATAATGCACCACTTGATTCTAAATGAGATAAATCAGAAAATTGCTTTAAACAGACGTCCTTCGTTTTTGTCGTTTTTAAGATACAGGGGACCAGGATCGGGCCAGCCACATCCCTCTGCTCCATCCCTGCACTTTTGCTCTACTCGAGACTCATAATTCCCCAAAGCTACCATGCTACTTGACACAACTTGCCCCTTTGTTTCCTTTGTCAGACATGCCTTCACATCTTACATTGCTGGAAAACACGACACCCTTATCAATTTGTCTAAATGTCTTCCCTCTGAGAATCTTTCCATGAGTCTCTCAAACAGTCATACCTTCTTATCTCCTCCCCCAACACTTTGTCCCTTTATCTTGTATTATAATGTACTATGTATGGATGTCTCCAGTACTTCTACTTTGCCTTGTCGACTAACTAAAAATCAAGTTATAAAGAGGCAGAACTCTTATTCACACGCATATCCCCAGCACTATGCTGTGTAATTCATGGTAGTATAGCATTGCACCTGGCTCAGAGTGTTCCCTAATGAAATAAATGACTGCCATGCACCAGTATGTAGACCACAGCTGCAGTGGAGATGTATAAGAGAGAGTCAAGGTGGAGGGTCTGATGAAAAGACTGAGGACCAAGGACAGAATACTGGGGAACATCAACAACCATGTAAGAACTTCTGCTTCTGCGTTATAGCGAACTAGATAGTTCTATAACCATGCTTCTATGGGAGGCAGAGAAAGAAGAGCCCTCAAAGAGAATAAGCTGTGGTCATGAAAGAAGGAGAAACACCAGGAGAGTTCTGTTCTGAAAGACAACGGAAAGAGTCTTGAGGATTTTCATTCATTCATCTAATTACTGGGCACTCTTGTTCGCCATTAAGGCCATTTATTAGTTTTTCTGTGATGAACAGGGGCTGTAAAATGAGAGCTGGGTTCTAATCCCCACTATACCTCTTCCTAAACGTTTAAGATTAACCTTTCTGAAAAATCACATTTCCTCATCTATAAATGAAAGGTCACCATGCCAGACTCCGTGGTTGCCATGAGAATGAAATGTGATAAAAATGTTGAAAGCCTAGCATTGTTTACAGCACGTAATGGACCCTTAATAATTGTTGGCATCCCTTTCCTCATCAGAACATTTGCTGAGTTAGAATTGCTCGATAATTTTTGTTCCATTGCACATTTCTGGTATTTCTCCTAAAGCTTTTACCTGCCTTGCTGGTATACATGTCCTCTGTAATCCATCTTCCCATCCTGCAGGCCTTGTCCAGTAGTTTCTACATAGTTGAATCTTCATAAATAACTCTCAAATTTAATATTATGACTTACAGGAATACTACTGTAGAGGAGAGGGGTATATTATCTCTGCTTTGAAACTATTTTGTTGTTCCCCCTCACCTATAGGATAAAGTCTAAATTTGTGTCATCCAGTACAGTGGCCACTGTCCAAAAGTGGCTATTGAACACTTGAAATGTGTCTAGTCTTGATTGACCCATAAGTGTAAAATGCATTTGGATTTTGAAGACTTGGTATGAAAAAAGAATATAAACACCTCAGTAATAGTTTTTATAATGATTACACATTGAAATATAACATTTTGGATAAATTGGATAAATACATTATTAAAATTAATTTCAGGCTGTTTCTTTTTACCTTTTAAAATATGGCTAGGAGAAAAAAATTAAATGATGTGGTTTGCACGTATTTCTGTTGGACAGGGCTATCTAAATGATGAATCAGGGAGCTCAGGCTCCCCTGGAACCATGTCTGCATACTTCTCCAGCTTTATTCCTGCTATACTTTATGCTCAAGCAGTATCAGACTGTGGATTCCTCTAATGGCCTCACTTTTTAATACTCTATGTCTTTTCTTAGGCTTTTCCTTAAGCCCGGGACCTACATTCTGCCATCTTCACCTGGCCAATTCCTACATGTCTTTTAAGATTCAGCTCAGTTGTCACTCTTCAAGGAAGCATGCCTGGAGCCTCATCTCTGTGTTTTTATGACTTCCATATCAGTGATTACATTATATTGTAGTTTCCCCCAACCAGACTTCACTCCCATCTTGAACCAAAGTTAGGAAATATATTCTATTCATTTTTTGTATCTCAGAATCTAGTAGTGTCTGAACAGAGTAAAAGCTCAATAAATGTTGAACCAATTAACCATTTGACATGTGCCTACCATGTGCCCAGCACTGTGATAGATGCTAAAGGATAATTATGGGGCTCATGAACTGAGTCAGGCAAGAACTCAAGGAGAGAGACAAAGCTGAAGCAGGATTCTCTCCATGACCCAGCACCTCTGTTTTTGGCATCAGCCAGAAAATTTTAATATTTGCTTCTCAGAGTTCACCAACCATGTTTATTTTAATACATTAAAAATAACTCCAGTTGGAGGGTAATAGATGCCAACTCTGAGGAGGCCCTGCTCTGTATCAGGAAGTATGAGAGGTATCAGGAAAACATGGGCCCTGCTCACGAACAAGAGGGTGGGGAGGAGAGTAAGATGAACTCATTAGCAAACATGACATACAGTGAGTGACATTAGTACAAATGTGTACCTTACAGTGGTACCACAGGGAAAGACTTGTTGGTTACTTCTCACTGAAGGAGGGGAGTCAAGGAAGGCTTCTTATAAGAGGGGATGTTTGATGGTCAGTAGGAGTTCACCAGATCAGTAAGTTGGGGTGAGTTAATGAATTAAATTGGCGAAGACAAAGAGATTTGAAACAGCATGGTATGTTAGGGAAATTGTAAGTTCTTGGGGCTTCATGTAATTATATGCTTGTTGGATTGTGTGACTCTCCATCTAATCCAGGAGTCCCTGGGGTAGTGCTTAGACCACTATCACTACAACAGATGCAGTAGCTAGAAAATGACTTGCAAATGTTAGGGATTCAGCGTTTGCTGAGTGTGGGCTGGAACATGGTGAAAGGGTTAGGATCCCTGAGCACCTTCTCTGCACTAGGTACCTTGCAAGGCCCTGGGTTGGTGGGGAGTGGGGTGCAGCCAAACCAGGTCAGGCACTGGAATCATAAGTGGCCCATCCAGGAAAAGTAGCTCAGTTGTCAAAGGGGCAGTGGCTGGATTAATGCTTTTCTTTTGCAAGATAAAACTCACCTAAGTTCTTGATGGAGAAAATTCTTCCAAGGCTGAAAGTAAAGATGAAAATGGTCAGTTTCATAAATCTACCCTTATCAACTAGGTCTCTGGTCACAAATCATTAGAAACTAGAGCAGAAGGTGAGATGGGTGGTCTCAGTACAGAGCAAAGGTAGAGACCGACAACAGAAAGTTCCACGAACTGTCACCAGTAGAGCTTGTTTTCGGTCAATCTGAAAACTAAACAAGCATTTTTGAAATTACAGTGTATGCTAGAGGTAATGTATAACTTAGAAAAATCAATTATTTTCTGGGAATGCATCTGCAGAACAAAGGACTTTTAAATCATATGAGGAAATATGAATTTGTAATATTTGAGCAATGTTTCAGTGGGCAAATTAGTATACACAAGTGTGCAACTCATGCTGGGAATTATTTTACTGATCATGTACCCTCTGATCGAAAATCAGCTCTCACATAATCTAGATTTGACTCCATTAAAATTATGTCTCAATGACAACAATGTAGCCTCTCATTTAGTTGTCACATATTTGATGCCATTATTTGGAAACTAGCCCTGAAGGATATAGAATGTCTTAGCATCCAAAATGCTGTCACAGAATCCAGGCCTAAGAGCAAGTATGCTTTCCTTCGAGGAGAGCTTTGCAGGCCTTCATTCAGAAACTACAAGTTTTTCTTTTCTATATAATTCTAGCAGACCGGATGGCAGCACTGGTAGAAGGACAAGTCAGAGGGACCTTGTTTTATATCTGTTAACTTACAGATTATTTAACCTCTGAGCCTCGACTTGTCCCTGTAAAATGGAAGTGGTGGTACCAGCTCACTGGGTAACACTGAGGATTTAGTGCCACCATATACACACAGGAGCCTGGCACACAACAGGGACTTGGTACATACGTGCTTGACCACGTGAGAGATTCACGGCTAGACACAAAGGTATTGATAGAAGAAAGAAATGATAACTGTAAGGAAACAGAAAACAATTACCACAGATAGACTTGTGGTGATTTGGTATAAAGACAACTAGCTCTGAGTACCTTCAAGGGACCAAGAGCATGTCGTAAAGAAGAACATGGACTGTGCACACTCAATTTACGTTCAGGGTACTCCAAGTCTTCAAGAAAGGGTGATGCCAGATTCTACTCATCAAATACTGAGCTGAACATAATATATGTCTGAAGGTTAAAGGATTTAAAAATTAAAAATACTTTCATGATTTTTATTTTGAATGGGATAAAACTTGATCATTTGGAAAGTTCACTTGTGCAGAAAAGTTTATTTGCTGATGTTGCCAGGTAAGTGAGGCATTTTGATAAAACATTCTATTCTTGTTAATAGGCATAACAGCCATTTATAGTTTTCTAGCTATAAAATGTATCCATGAATGAACAATTTTTTCCAGTAAGCATTAGAAAACTAAAGCAGAAAGATGAAGGATCTAGACTAAATGTACCCATTGAGACAAGCATAGAACCTTAACTGACCCAGTTATGTTAGGTAAGTGCCTACTGTGTGTCAAGCACAGTAGGTGCTTACCTCCTCTCTCTCAGATCTCTTGGCAATACAGTGAAACAAGTATTGGTCCCCTTTTGTACTGAGCATCTACTACTACAGATATAGTATGTGCATATGCTTCCTGCCCTCATGCGGAAAACACCATTTTACAGAAGACACAACTGAAGCTCAGAGAGGTAAAATGTATGGAACAGATGCTGAGCACTTACTATTAAACTGTTTTCCTGGATTTACCTTGTATTCATTCTCACAATGACCCCAGATGTGGGTACTTCTTATTGCTATATTGCAAATGAGAAAATGGAGGTTCCAGATCATACAGTCAGGAGCTGGAATTGAGGCCAGTGATTCTACTTGGGCCCTAATCAAGTTGCAACTTTGACCTCCAGGTAGCACCTAGCACTGAGCCCACCAGGAGCCTAGAAAATATGCCTTCAAGGGTCCAGTCACTCTCATGAAAGCATGGGATATACAAATTTGGTTTGTGCCAAAGAACTCTTTTCTCTAAGGGGACTGTTATTAAAGGCCAGTTGGTGCTGGCAGCATTAGATAAGGGGCTGGGAAGGGATTAGGACTATCTTCTCCCGTCCTGTCACACATTTTCTGTCTCTAACATCACAGGGCTCAGACCTCAAAATCTTAGCAGCTGGAGTCTGGCAAAGCCTCAGAAGTCAGGGGAAAACCAAAAACGAAGACCTTTCCTCCTTCATAAAAGAAACTACTTTAGAATCAACTCTGTATACTTGTTTTTGTTATAAAGTTGTTAAGAAGAGAGGAAACAATACCTTTTGGAGTTCTTCAATTTCAACTTCATAAGTTGCTAGAAAAACATGAAAAAAAATTATTTCAAGGTGGTTTCTTATAGGATCCATTTCTTACAGTACCCAAGATTAAAGCAATTATGAAAGATTACAGAGTTCAGTTTTCTCAAACTTCATCACACTGATCTATGTGAGGCTTTGTCTAGATGGTTTGGGAAATTCTTGGTTCAATGATCACGGTTTTAATTTCTGTGGAGATTTCCAGGAATATATAGTCAATAAAAACCTTTGAAACAATCTTCAGTTTCCTGTTTTGGTAAATACATTCATATTCCATGATTAAGAGAAAGCTCTGAAGTTTAGTGGTAGCAATCAGAAGGCAGACTTGAAAGGAAAGGGATAGGAAAAAAGGCCAAAAAAGGTCTCAATCCCACTTCAACAAAATGAACTCCATAGTATGCCTAATAGTGTTTTGTTCCATGAGTGTTTGGTTTCTTAAGTACAGCTTGAAATGAGAAGACTGACCACCAAATAAGGCTTGAATACTTTTTCATTTTTCCAGTAGTTCTGTGGATGTTATTTAATGACATGATGCCAACCTTAATGATTAAAACACGAGTAGCGGCAAGAATTTGAGTTCGAAGCCCAATTCTGCCATTTCCTACCTGTGGGATTGCAGACACTTCATTTGTTTGAACCTCAGCCTGTCCATCTGTGAAATGGGGTCAGTTGGTACCTGCCTTATGGCGTTAATGAGATTAAAGGAGATGATGTAAGAAATAAAACTTTTCTAGCAGATCACCATTGTATAGAAAGTAATGTGGTTTTTTGGTAAAATTGCTAATTTGATTTTTCTTCGCTTAAAAGTTTTCTCCGCTTAAAAGTTTTCTCCCTGCTATGAATGAATATGTATGCATAAGTAGGACTCTCCTCTGTTCCTTTTCTCTTTTTTGCTGCTAGGGTCCTGAAGCTTTACTTTAGAAAACTGACCAAACATGTTACATTTCTAAGCCATTATTATTCTAAACATACAGTCCATCAATGAAGTATATTAAATCCTAGATTTTCTTGAGGGACAAAGAAAATGTGATTGTCGACACTCAGACCTGAAATTCTGTGTGGATGGTTAATAATATGTACTTCAACTTGGGTAATTGCACACTTTTATTTTTACTGTTTTTCTAATCAAAACATTGTATTCTTATTTTATTCTATTATTTGCTTTAAAAACTTTGTTTAGCTATTAATATATTTAAAAATACTGCTTATGATGGCAGGCTGCCTCATCCATTCCAAGTATGGATTTCTTTTTCAGTTTAAAAAATGACAATCTACTCCTATCTCCCTTCTACCATATATATATATTTAAAGAATTAACAAATCACGATCTCTTTGCTTCTTGCTACCTGGAATGGGGGATAATTATATTGTCTCAGAAATAGGAAAACCAAGGCTCAGAGAAATCTTACTTGCCAAAGTTAGTAAACAAAGATAATACACCAATAATTAATAATACATTCATACTTTGATACTGCTTTCTAACAAAGTAGAGGTTCTCAAATGGTAAGTTTTGCCATCTGAACTTGCTCCCAAGGTAGGACTATAAAGTACAAAGGGCTGTATGCCCTAAGGCTATCAGGAAAGGACTAGGAATTATAGTAAGAGGACACAATCCCACAGCATTAGAGTCCTCGCTCACTTTCCCCCCAGAATTAGGTAACTCTCTCCACTGAATAGCTTTATCCAACTTGGGAGAAAAGGTCAAATATCAGATGGTTCTCAGTACCTCTCCAACTACTAACACAATAGCATGGTCATGTCTTGCGAGCCCTCAGCTCTTCTTCATATACTAACCCCACCGTGTGACCTTGGAAACATTTCTTCACCTCTTTAACACCAGGAGGTGAGACGGTTATTACTAATATTATAAAAACAATAAATAGTAGCTAACATTTTTTTTTTTCATGATGATCACTACTAGTATTCCAGTTTTACTGAGGAGGAAACAGATACCCAGAGAAGTAACTTGCCCAAGGTTACTCAGTTAGGATATGGCTTTCAAACTTACTCCAGCCATGGAATCCTTCATTTAAATGGAATGTTAGCCAGGAGCATGAACAGGACTTCTCTGGTTGAAGATCTCCCTGAGGGACTCCAAGATCCCTCAGAAAAGCCCTGGGCCCTGGAAAACACAGTCTGAATGATACTGGTCTAGATTGGCTATGAGGACAATTCTGCAGGGCTTCTAGAACAGCCTAAATCCTGCTGACCAACCACCAAGTTCTGTGTAAAAGGGCGTAGATTTAGAAAGTTACCTTCGCTGAGCTACACACCCTGAGGGGACAGTCTTCTCTGTTTTCTTGGCATTGTTCAAGTGACAGACTCACCCAACAGCAAAAAGCCAACCACGTCATCCTCTTTCTCCTTCCCTTCCTTCCTCCTTCTCTCCTTCCCAGAAAGGTATCATTTAGATTCCTCTGATGGGCAGAGGAAGGAAAAAAAAAAAATTTAATTTTTTATAAGATGTAAGATTTGGGCTGAGGTTTTATTTTTTTGTCTGTGGATATCCAATTGTTCCAACACCATTTGTTAAAAGGCTGTCTTTCCTCAACTGAATTCGTTTAGAATTTTGTAAAAAAAAAAAAAAAAAAACCAAATCAGTGGGCATATTTGTGTAGGTCTGAATTCTGGATTCTCAATCTGTTCCATCGCTCTGTGTGTATCTCTTTGCCAATACCTTTTTACTATTATTATTATTATTGTAGTTATAATTCTCAAAATTAGGTGATCTGAAACCTCCTTTTTCTTCTTCCAAATTGTTTTTAGCTATTCTAGTTCCTTTGCCTTTCCATATGCATTTTAGAATAATCTTATCTATAAGAGATCTAGCTAAGATTTTTAATGGAAATTACATTAAACCTGTATACCAACTTAGGGAGAATGAACAGTTTTACTATATCAAGTCTGCCAATCCATAAACATGGTATGCCTCTCCATTTATTGAGATTTTAAAAATTCATTTCGTCAGCATTTAATAATTTTCAGCACTTAAGTCTTATAAATGTTTTATTAGATTTCAGTCTTTCTTTTCTCTGAGTAATTGTAAATGGTATTGTATTCTTTCATTTTAGTGTCCATGTATTCAATGGTAATATACAGAAACAATTTCGACCTTTTATTTTTATATCCTGTGACCTTGCTGAACTCATGCAGATTTTTTTTCCCCAAAAATTCCTCTGGATTTTCTCCTTAGATAATCATGCCATCTACAAATAAGAACAATTAATTTCTTTATTTGTATACCTCATGCCTTATTGTACTGGCTAGAACTTCCAGCACTACGTTGAGCAGAAGTGGAAAGAGTCAACATCCTTGCCTCGTTCCCAGTCTTAGGGGGAAAGAATAGAGTGTTTCACCACTAAGTATCATGTTGACTTTTTGTAAATGCTCGTTATCAAGATTAGAAAGTTCCCCACTATTTCTGTCTTTCTGAGAGTTTTTATCACAAATGGGTCGTGAATTTGTCAGATGTTTTTTCTGCATTGATTAATGTGATTGTGTTTTTCTTTTTTCTTTAGGCTGTCAGTATGGTGGATTAAACTGATTGATTTTGAATACGGAACTAACTTTGCATCCCTGGAATAAATCACACTTGGTCATGGTATAAAATTCTTTTTACAGCTTGCTGAATTCTTTTTGCTAGTTTTGTTAAAGGTTTTTATGACTATATTTATGAAGGATATTGATCTTCAGTATTCTTTTTTATTGTCTTTGGGTTTGGTATCAGGGTAATACTAGCTTCATAAAATGAATTAGGAAGTGTCCTCTTTTCTGGAAGAGATTGTATAGAATTATTTCTTCTTTAAACATTTTTTAGAATTCTCCAATGAAATCATCTGACAGATAATTTTTTGTGAGTTTTAAAGTTAGTTCAACTTAATAGTTACAAAGCTATTCAAATAATTTATATTGGACAAGGTGTGGTAGTTTGTACTTTCTGAGGAATTATTATCTAAATTTTCAAATTTACATGTGTCAAGTTGATCATAGTATTTCCTTATTATCTTTTTGATATCTGCAGGGTTTGTAATGATATCTGTTTTATCCTTGATATTGTTAATTTGTGCCTTCTGTTTCTTGATCAGTCTTGCTAGAGGTTTGTTAATTTTGTTGATCTTTTCAAAGAACAAGCTTTTTGTTTCATTGATTTTTCTTTATTATTTTTCAATTTCATTTATTTGTTATTATTTCTTTCACTCTACTTACTTTAATTTTACTTTTCTTTTTCTATGTTCTTGATATAGAATCTTGGATTTGAGGCTTTACTTTTTTTCTACTGTAAGACGCACTTAGTGCTACAGATTTTCCTCTCAGCATTGCATGAGCTGTGTCCCACAAATTTTGTTGTTATATTTTCATTCAGTTCAAATTTGTGTTTCCCCTTAGACTTAGTTTTTGACCCATAATATTTAGAAATGTATTGTTTTGTTTCTAAATATTTGGAGAGTTTCCCGTTATCTCTTGGTTACTGAATTCTAGTTGCCAGATTTAGGAAGTTTTCAGTAACCATTTCTTCAAGTACTTTTGCAGTAGTATCATCTTTCTCCTTTCTTTCCAGAATACCATTTAAGACTTTTGTTATAGTCCCACAAATAGCCTGAAGCTCTGCTTTTTTCTTTTTCCTTCAGTGTGTTTTCTCTTCATTGTTCAGATTGGGTAATTTCTGTTGATTCTTCCAAGTTCACTGAATCTTCTCTTCCTTTCTACTGTTGAGCCCATCCATTGGGCTTCTTCATTTTTATTGTTACGCTTTTCAGTTCTAAAATTTCCATTTGTTTTTTCTTCAATTTCTTTTCATATATATTCTATTTCTTTAGTAAGATTATGTTTTTCATTTGTTTCAATTATGTTCATAATTCCTTGCTGAAGCATTTTTATAATAGCTGCTTTGAAATCTTTGTTAGAAAATTCTAACTCTGGAATCATCTCAGTGGCATCTCTTGGTCATCTCTTTTCATTCAAGTTGAGACTTTCCTGGTTCTTGGTATGATGAGTGATTTTTTTTTTTTTTGAAACCTGGACATTCTGAGTATTATGAGACTCTGGATATTATGTAAATCTTCTGTTTAAGCTCTCTTTTCCTGGCAACAGAAGTTGAGGAAGACTGCCTTCTTCTGCCACGTAGGGGCAGAAGTCTAAGCTCCCCACTTCTTGGCCTCCCTGTACCCAGGTGAGAAAAGGGCTCTGCATCACTGCTGGGTAGGAGTGAGGCTCTGGCTCCCCATTATGCTTCTGCCGTTTATACCCTGGCTGGTAGAGGTAGCGGTGCCTTGTTACTTCTGGGAGGGGAGTTCAAGCTCCCCACGTGGTCCTCACTGTAGTGGGGTTTGTTATTCCCAGCAAAGATGAACGTCCAAGCTCCCTACTTGGTCTCCTCTAAAACCACCTTAGCAGAGGGTGTGGGGTATGCCATTGCTGCCTGATGATGATGGTCAGCTAGGCTCCCCACTTAGCATTTGCTGTGAAGCTGGAGGGGGGAGGTGGTGGTGGTGGTGGGGTGTGTGTGTGTGTGTGTTCAAAATAGCTATCTTAATGGCTGTGAATTGTTATATTATTGTGGTTTTGATTGGCATTTTCCTAATAATTAATGACGTTGAGCATCTTTTCATGGAGAGAGAGAGAGACAGAGAGAGAGAGAGAGAGAGAGAGAGAGATTTGGCTGGAGTACAATGGCTGTTGTCTAGAGGCTTTCTGTCTTTCTAGGCTTCCCCTTTTTTGGTCCTTTGGCTAGAAGGAGCAGGCTTTTGTTGCAGATGTATTTGTCTGTGCCCACTGGTATTTCCAGGGGCCTGCTTCTTCAGCTCCAAGTCTAGAATACACGAGAAAGAAAAAAACCCAGGGAACTCACTACCTATCTTTCTTTGGGTCCTAATGTCCCTAACTGTCCTACCTTCTTCTTTCTACCTTTGCAGAGTCTTCCAGTTTTCTTACTTTTGTTCTGTATAACAGCTAGGGTTTTAGTTGTACTAGGCTGCAGGACTAGAGAAATGTATATCTGCTCTATCTTCCCAAAAGCAGAATTCCTCTTGACTTTAAATATATTATTTTAACAAACTCTCAGAATAACTCCACTAAGAAGATATTATACCCATTTTGTAGATGAAGAAACTGAGGTTCAGATGTCATTCAATCAGTAAGTCGTGTAAAGAGGATGAAAAACACTGGGAAAAGTCAAACAAACAGGTACAAGTGGGTAAAATAGCCCACTTCCTTCCTTTCCTTTCTGTAGGGTGACCATAGCTTGTCTCTTTAGAAAGGGACAGGGAAAAAGGTGTGAGGACATATGACAAAATAATTTTGATCCCAGGCTGTACCTCCCCAGCTTCTTCAGTCCTGTCAGGACTATGACTAACTCTCCTTCACAGAGATGCCCTCTCTGGCGGAGAAAGCCCTCGCCACCGTGGCCATCCTCCCACCCTCTCCCCTTTCTATTGCTCTGTTACCTCTCAGTTGTGTCAGTGGCTTATTTTCTGTGCCCTCTTTTCAGTCATAAACATTTGCCTCTTCAGCAGCACTGCCTATGAAGTACACAAAGACCCTCTCAGTAAAAGACTGAAGAGAGGCCTGGGTTAGTGGTTCCTTCTTTGGGTATCTCAAATGATATCCCCTGGCAGTCCCGCCTTGAGCATTGGTGGCCTGGAGAGAATAAACGTAGGCCTTTGGTCTAGCTTCTGATTTTCAATCCTCAGCCTTACTCAACACCTTGAGGGGCCTCACGTATATCCAAACCCCATCCACACCACCCCCATCAATAGCTCACCTGTAGCCCGTCTGTCCTAAAAAGGAAGGACTTAGGCAAGAGACCCAAGCAGGATCTTAGGGAGCCACTTGGCGGGAGAGAATTCTCAGGGTCTCATGTAGTCCGGAGAGAAGGTCCAGGCTCTGATTATAGCATCTCCTTGGCCCTGCGAGTCCTCAGCTTTGCAGAAAGGCATGCAGCTGGGATGTAGCCCACATGTGGCCCACAGCCCTTCTAGCAAAGTGTGGTTTGTGGACCAGCAGCATCGACATCACCAGAGAACTTATTAGAAATGCAGAATCTCAGGCCCAACCCAGAGCTACTGAATCAGAATTTGAGAAGCTGTGCTCTAATTCAGGGGCTCAGACACCCCAACTATGGAGCATTGAATTTTAGCGGTGTTAGGGGCGGGATTTGTCCTTTTTTATGGCTAGCATTTTATAAGCCATATGGGAAAATCTAGGTTTTACCTGTCTAGGAGAGAGTGAGTTTTTCCATGAGTTCTACAACCCCTTATTTCCTGAAGGAAGGGAAGGAAATTTCAATGGGTCCTGACTCTTATTATGCAAACTCCCTAAGTATGTATTCACGACTTTCTTTCCAAACAATAACGAGGTTGGACCAGATAATGTTCCTCTAACCCTCCTTCTAGGGAAGCAAACTATCCTTAATGAAAAGCAGCATATAGCTGCGGTGAGCTTGGATCTTAGAGGCAGTCTGAACCCTTCACATTGTAGCTCTATCACATATTACTTTTGTGACTGTGTAAGTCAACCTCTCTGATCTTGAGTTTCCTGTCTCTAAAAGTAGGTTCATAAAACCACCAAATCATCAGGGACGTACACAGAAGATCTCTCAAAACTGTGGCCCACAGTATAAACTCAGTAAATCCTAGCGATTTATCTAACACCAATATTTATGCCCTTCCTCAAAAATTGAATGATCCTATAGGCAGAAGAAAGACATAGAAACTTTTAGAAATGCTATGAGTCCCTGCTTCTTTATCTTCTTTCCTGATTAGATCTCTTCTTTCACAGAAAGGTCTGAGCTTTTTCAGCAACAACAGAGACAGGAAGACTTAGCCCTGAACCAGTGGTCAGACTCGTTAAGTGAATCCTGTGTTCCTGGTCAGGCTAAACACAGGGACCTCATTCTCATGGCCTGTTATCTCCCTGTCCACACACACAGCATTACCAGGGGACTTCAAGAAAGACACCACAAGAAGAGAGATGACATTTCTATAGGTGGACAATAAAAAATAAAAAGAACCACCATATCTTGATTTTTCCCTCCCACATATTGAAAAAAGGCAAAACATCTAAGTAGACTGGGGAAGGAGAGACTAGAAGAGAGTAGAGAGAAGGCATCACTGGGAGTCATGAGATAGGATTGATGCTCAACGGGATTCATTTATATTTTTAAGAGACTAGGCAAGGGGTGGGGTGTGGGGGGAGAAAGAAAGAAGATGGTAGAGCAGCATGGCTGTGAATATTTAAACTTACAGTGAGCTGGGGGAAAATACCATTTTTGACACATTTTCATTCCACACAGGTTTACAATACTAATTGGCTTAGCATACTTACAATCAGCAATTTCTTTTGCAGTGCACAGGTTAATGGAGTTGCCAGGATGTCTCAGATATGAAATTGTTGCCTCATAATTATGTGGCTCTTCAAATTCAGCACTGAGAAACATGGAGGAAAAAATGGTTACTTAAAATAAACCGTTTCTTTAAATATATTTTAAAACTTTTTGTGTTTTTTCCCTTCATGAGAGAGGTAATATAAGTATGTCTGGTCAATATGGTAACCTCAGCAGATATGGAAGGCACATCACCCCTACTCTAAATACATAGGAATTCTGGATGAAATATAACAATGCAAAGCATAATACAAAGAACACATAACTCACCTAGAAATCAATAAGGTAAAAATCCCCAGGTGCCAGACATAGAGAGAAAACTCACAATTAAAGATGTAAATGAAAATTGCAGCCAAAGAACTCAAAGGGATATTGGGACCAGATAAAGAAAGATCTTAGTGACTGGGCAGCTAGGAATTTAATGTCTGAGTCAGAAGTCTGAGCCATAGGCTTCATCTGAATGGGAAGCTGGAACTGAGCTATCAGCATAAAGTCCAGAGTTACAAAATGCCATCCCATCCATAACATAAATTCTAATGAAATATCTGTGCACTCTTCCGGGGACTGAGCAGGGAAGACTGTTATCTGACTGTGGCCACTGAAGCTAAAAAGAGGCACCCACCAGAAATCAGAAACTTGAAAATTCAGCACCAAGTATAGGAGAGGGTACTAAATGCATATTATCTGTGTATTTCAGAGACACAAAACTACAGGGTACTTGAAATCCCCCCACCCCCACTTCCTTGAAAAGCCAATCTAAAACCATCCAGTGCACATGCTTCCATGCCCCACGGCACCTATGGTTTCTAAAAGAAACAATTCCTGTTCAAAAGCAGCTTATAGTAAAAAACTGCATACCCCACAGGGAGATGAGTCATCATAGGTAGTCAGAAGATATAACTCATGGGAGAATTAATAATAGAATGACATTAAAGTGACTTTAAAATAAGTATGTTTTCAGGATTGGAAGAAATAAAGTGAGGAATAAAAGCTATTAGAGAGTATGAAAAAACATGTACATTTGAGACAGGAGAAAGTTATGGAAATCATAAATGTAGTTCTTGAATAAAAAATTTAATGTAGGGTTGCATAGTAGACTAGACGTAGCATGAGAGAGAATTGGTGAATTAATTAGATCTGGGGAAGTCATCCAGAAGATAGCAGAGATTAAGATGGAAAATATTAAAAGAAAACTTAACAGTAGGGAGGATAGAATGAGAAGGTCCAACATATATACTAGGGATTCTAAAAGGAAAAGAGAAAGATGAAGAGGTCAATATTGAAATGATAATAGCTAAGAGTTTTCTAAAATTAAAAAGGGACATGAACCTGTCTACTGAAGCAACTTTAACGGTGAGAAATAATGACAAATCCGCACTTATAGAGTTTGTAATAAATTAGCATAAGACAAATTAAAAAAATGTAAAAGCTGTGTGAGAGAAAAGACAGAACAGCAGACTGGCAATGCACTTCTCATCGTCAACAATAGATGCTGGGGATTGTGGATAATATTGTAAAGTACTGAGTAAAGATATCTGCCAATATAAAATTCTCTTCCAGCTAAATTATCATTCAAGGGCAAGGGAGAAACAAAGATGTTTTCAGAACACAAGTACCTGTATATGCATTTACTGCTCACAGATCCCTGAAATTGCACTAGTAATGAAGTAGGATATAAAAAACAATGGTGATCAAAAAAATTAATAAAGCTTTTGGTAAATCTAAACAAATATTGACTAAATAAATTAATAATAAATTATTAATTTGTAGGAGTTTAAGAATAAAATGGAATTAAAATGTTAAATAATAATATGGAAGATGGTGAGAGAGGGCGATAGGAATTATTCTCAGGTCTTCGCATTATTTAGGATATAGATTTGATTAACATTAGATTTAGTTAATTGTGGGTGTCAAACTCTAACTGTAACCACTAAAAGGTTGACAGAATATTTAACTTCTCAAATGGTAGAAGGATAATATGCAAGAAAGCTCAAATATTTAAGAAAGCAGAAAAGAAAAAAATAAAAGTAAAGCAATTTCATAGTAAATTTAAAACATAAAATACAGAAAAAGTCCAAATAGATCAAGAATAGAAAATGCAGAGATTAACCTACTCCAATAAAATAGAGAATATCTGATTGGATGTTTTAAAAATATGGCTAATGCTGATAAAAAGCGGCAGAGAAACCAAGCTCTCACATAAATGAACAAATATAGAGGCAAACTAAATACTAACCAAAAGAAAACTTAGGTAGGTATGTTAATATTAGATTATACTTTAACATGACTGTTCAAGAAAATGAGACAAGGTACACAGACATTCATAAATTAGAGCTAAGAAGGAGGACAAAACTAGAGAGAGATTTCAGTTTTCATAAATTTATAAAAATGTTAAATATCAGTTATCTGCCAATCAATTAAAAAGTCTAGAGAAAATCAGTGACCATAGAGAGAAATATAAAATTATCACAGTGATTGAAGAATAGACTGATAGGCCAATAAACCACCAAAGGGCTTGAATCAATATAGTACACACCCCTCACAATCCCCCCTCCCCAACATCACACCCAACCTACCTGTCCCTTTTTCCTCTACCAAACAGTTTTATAGGCAAGTTTTATGACCAATTTCAGAGAATAGAAAAAGAGGAAAAACTGCACTACTCATATTAAGTGAACAGTATAATTTTGATATTAAAACCACCGAATGACCAAATAATAAAATAAAAATATAGGCCAATCTCAAGACATTTTAGCCCAAGTAAATAAAACAGTAGAAAATGAATTAATCAGTAATAAAACTAACTTAAGAAAAACTAAAAATTTGCCAGGACTTCAAGGATGACTCACATCAGAAAATCTGTCATTGCAATTAATCACATTGAAATAATAAAAGGAAAAAAAATCATATATTATTTTAATAGATGCAAAAAAGCATTCCAGGTAGATAAACTTTCTTAAGTAGTTTAACCTCCAACAAATATCACACTTAATAGCAAAGTGGAACAAGGGTTAATATCTAAACTGTACTGGGAACACCCATAATAGAAAAGACAAACTCATAGAGAATTGGACAAAAGGATATGATAGACATCACAGCAGAGAACAAATGAATAGTTTATATAAGTAAATTCGCAACCTCATAGTAACCAGGGAAATGGACGTCAAGACAATAAGAATTTGGTTCACACCTTTCAGTTTAATCTTAAAGTTTGAAAAAATATATCATTTAGCAAGAATATGGAGAAACCAGAACTCTTTATCCTGTTTTGAGAGTATGAAATGCACAACTATTTTGAAGGATAATTTTTCAATATCTAGCAAAACCAAAGTTGTTTATTTACTAATGTTTAGCAATTATAACTCTAGGTAAAAAAAACCTAGAGAAACTTGCTTGTATTCACCTGGAAATGTGAGGACGATTACTGCAGCAGCATCTGAAAGGGTGAAAATTTAAAACAACCTAAATGTCCTTCAGTAAGGGAATACAAGAACAAATTGTGATATGTCTATATGATGAAATACATACAATATACAATTACAATGAATAACCTAGACTTATATGCATCGACACAGAATATGAAAATACAGCTTTGGGGGAAAAAATCAAGTTGCAGAAAGATAAAATAAGATTATATTTATACAAAAATGTCAAATACTGTATCTTTAACAGATATATGAGTGTGTGGCTAAAGTATAAGAAATACTATAATTGAATACACTCCTACATTCTGAGTTGGTGTTGGCTCTGAGAAGGGGGAAAGGGAAATGGGACTGGAGAGTGAAATGAAAGGGGCTTAAACTATATCATAACAAATGAAGACTAACTGCTTCACACCGGATGTGGGTAGTAGAGAGGGAAAAAAAAATACCTATAACCCTCCTAACTTACCACAAGTGAAGTCTTAGTATTTTGGTATTCTTCCTGAATTTTTCCATTTGTATGTATATCGCTACTGTTGTTGCAGACAATGAAAAGACTGGAGTGCTCTTTTCATTTTTTCTCTACATTTATTATTATATCATAAGCTCATTTCACCCAATTGTTTTCCCTTCTTTGTTTGGCTATTTTGGATATTTTCAGGTAGTTTTTTTTTTATAGTTTCTGTAATATTTTTAAAGATGAATGAGTAGTTCATTTGTGAAAAGGAAAAAAAATTATAAACTCTAATGTATCAGTAATTTCTCCCCTCATTGTTTTGTTCCCTTCCCCCTACATGAAATAATCAAGAGAAACTTTCTTAAATTATAGACTATACCATGTATCTCATGCTCCAGTGGCCTAACAATCTCATCGGGTCTATGGTAAATTAACTTTATTAATAAGAAACAATTTGTGAAGTAATTGAAAGAAGATATTTAATCAATGTCTTGCACTACCTTTGCCAGGAATGAATAAATATCTGATTTCAGATGACCAGAATTTCAACCAAATGTAAAATTAAAAAAAAAAAAAGCATCTTCAGATCAATTGTCATTACAAACAGGCAGTCTCAGAATTACTGTTGAAAGGGAAAAACGATACTGCAGATATATCTAAACTTAATATATTTTTGCTACCTGAGAATGTCTTTTATCTTTTTTCTGGTCCATTGAAACCAGATCTGAGATCTGCCTGGATTTAATACAGTGTGGGTCAATATAAAGAACTTGAATTGCAGGGAAGAAATAACTCTATGAATTAAATATCTCTATGCTTCAATTTCTGTTTCCACATTTATTAAAATATCTATCTATACTCTGTCTCCAGGACTGTAGACATTATTGGGAAGCAGCATAGAATTGCAGGCAAACTTGGAGCTTGGGCTCAGACAGATATGAATTTGAATCCTGGCACTTCTACTTTCTAATTATAAAGTATTGGATAAATTCCTTAATCCTTAGTTTCCCACTCTACAAAATAGTAATAATAAAATCCACTTTAAAGGTATATTGTGGATATCGAATGAAATATTTGCACTCTTTACATGGACATTCCACAAAATTGTGCTAGCAATATTATATTGGAGGACAGAAATTACCGTGTTTTTAAAAAAATAATTTT